GTAAAAACGTGATGTAATGCGTGTTTAGAGGATGCTGTGTAAATGTCGGTGATAGAACTACAAAAAATGTAAAATTATAAAATCAGTACTTTTTATATCACTTCTCCCTAATGTCCACGGGGTAAAGAGTTAACTTGCAATTTTCTAATTAAATCATGATTATTTCTTTTATATATTTATATTCTGTTACCTAGGTAATTGCACAGAATTAGGGGTATTAAAGGCAAAGGATTAACTTAAAAAAAACGTAAAAATTAATTTCGAGGATTAAGGGCATTCCTTCTCTTTCCAACGAATCTCAAGGCTTATTGTGGAGACAAGGTCTTTTCGTCATGACTAGATCTTTATCAGTTATGAAACGGTGATGCTTGAGGTGTTCCTTCGAAAACTTTACTTCTGTCTTTATAAAGATTGCGTTAGGCAAAAACGACCATGTCACCCGCTAAGGGAGGAGTTGATCGATATGGAAGAAAAATTTTACCACAAACGCAACTTATCTAAAGCTAGAATAGGTTTTTTTGTTTCCGAAATTTCATCTCATTTGATCAAATTATCAAAATTTTCATTTTGAAGAAAACATTTTCATCTATCTGATTATGTTTATTCAAAAGTTTTATATTTCCTGCTTGTACAAGACTGAAAAAAATTTAGAAAAGATTTTTCAAAATGTAATACATTGAAAAATTTATAACTTGCGACAAAAACATTTTTGAGAGTTAGATTAACTTTTCATTTTGATCAAGATACTTTACCTCATACACAAGCATCTCAAAATCAGTTTTAAAAAATATTATTTTTAAGCGGACGAGAGAAGACCTCAAGTATCAAATAGCTGAATAAAAGCTGATGAGTATATATGTTTCTATCTATGTCTTTTATTTAAAAAGGAGTTTGATATCCAAAGTGATTTTGCTTTGTCAGAAAGGGAGCCATAAACCGAACTAATTGATTTTCTAATAATAATCGGACAAATGATTATTATCCCTTCCACAAAAAGTTAATAAAAGTGAAATGTATTATGCAGAATGTTTTATGCCCTGGGACGTAAGATTAAATTATTGCTCAACGAGGAAAAAACCGATTCAACAACGACAGAGAGCATTTTTAACGGTTTTTTTTCTTTCTCAGTGGAGCTTTAAGTAAGAAATATTTGTTTGACGCACGTTTCGCTGCTCAGAGTTTATTCTTTCATAAGAAAACGAAGTCTCCAAAATATTGGAAACAAGAAGAAATAGCCTTCACATTTCCCATAGTTTCCATTCAAGTATTAATGGTGCCTACCTAGGTGACTGAGTAATGATCGATTTAAGTCCTGTTTCCATGGAATAATAAATTCTAATCCAATGGCCATTCCAAGGAAGACGATGCCCAAAATCGAAGTCATAATAAATCTATTAACATAGATTAAATCAGGCAATTGTTTCAACATAACATCTTCACGATTTGGTTTATGTTTTTGTGTTCTAGTATGAATTACTGCATAGTAAACAAATGAGCCAAGACACGCGCCCAAACACGTGTACAATGAATTTTTAATACCTGCACCTCTAAATAGAATAAATATTACTCAAAGACAAGTATATATTAGCAATATCTTTTAGTTACAGTTGTACGAATACTGTTCCCGGACAGCTTCCACAAACAACCATGCCCAATCCAATTAGAGTGCCTCCAACGACATAATGTAAGAATAATCGTGAAGCATTTTGTTCTATGTAAGATCGTAATACTCTTTTATAAGACTGTTCACAACATATTAACAATGCAGAAACAGATAACATTGATGTACCAACAGCAGCTAGAAACATTTTTAGCATTGCATAACGTTGAAATAACATTTGTAGACGAATTGTTGGTGCAACAAATACCGTAGATTTATTGAGCAAAAATCCAAATAGAAGACCAAGTACGACGGGTAATACGAGTAGACGAATACTAGATAACATATTTTGTTTAGATGATGCTAAATGAGGATGAGATTTGTTGTTGATTGTTGCCGTTTCACGATAGACATCACCATTCGAAAATGTTGAATTAGAACCTAATTTTGCATCGGTGTCATTATCCAATCTAAATGGAATAAACAAAAAGAAAAGTTAGTTTTCTGCTGATGAATTAATTCTTTAGCTGCTTTACAAGGAAATGAGGTTTATAGAAAATTTGGTTCTTCGGACAGATTCATTGGGTCTTTTATGAGGAAAGTCAAAATTGAACTCAAATCTGTTAGATGATATTGCATATATACTTTTTATTTGGCGATGATTTATCGTGTGTATTCATATTAATTGGCTCTTCAACTGCTGGACGTAAATATTGACTTTTTCGCTTATTTAAATTATCTACTCCATTAGTATTTTGCGCCAACGTTTGCGATACTGCTGCCATATTCATCACTCTTGTTGTAGCATTTTTATCTGAAGCATAATCTAATTAGCTAGCTACTAGAAAGAAGACTGAAACATAGATTAAACGTATCTAAAGATGTTGATCAATATTTATTATGAAGAAAAAACAACAACAAGAACGAATATAAAACATTGTTAACATACGCATATGTAAAGATTTTCTGCTCCTTGTTGTATTTGCTTTCTGTTACTAAAAGCACAATTCTTCGCTTATGACACAGTTCTTATAAAAACAAAATTTGGTTCTACGAATTGATGCTGTATCATATTATTATCTCGAAGCAAATGACTATATTATCAAAAAGATGTTTCATAGAAATGCTGCATTGATAGAAAGAAGGCAAAATATTGTTATTGTAGATTTCTTTCGCTAGAGATTGTTTCTTATATACGAATCTACTAACGAGGGAACCCCACGAAGTGATTAAACGCTTTTTGCTCGGAATCTAGTGGGTTATAGGTTATCGACCATGCGGCTTCCGCATAGCCCTTCGAAGACCTGGTTTTCTAGAAAACGAGTTTTTCA